TTCTCAATACTTGGTAAATAGAAGAAGAAAGTAAATCATTTGGACACAGTAGCTCACACATCACAATATATTATAATAACACAGAGTAACAATATAAATGGTAATAATACATTCAAAATAAGCAAAAATAGCAAGAGACTGATGTTATATCTTTTTAATTTTGTTACCTAGATACGACTTTAGCACCAGTAGATTTATGGGCATTAACAGTCAGGCTGTGTGACTCTTCTGCCACAGCCGAACGAAGGAATCCGTCTTCAATGGTAAAAACTGTAACAGAACTGGCCTTCTTGCTCACCCCCAGCACCTAGAGTACAATAGATGCAGTAGATTAATGGCTGTTTAGATAGGTAGATAATAAAAATGAATGTAATTACAGAAAATAGAGTAATATGGGCCCATAAAAAAAAAAAAAAAGATAAAATGCTAAATAAACTCACTTTGCTGTGGGTGGAGAATCCAGTTTCTTGCGTTTTACACGTGTCCAGGATCTTGGTTCTTGTCACTTGACTTTTCTCTGCTTTGTACTGAACAGTGCACCTTCCTGACACATCATTCTGTGATGGTGGAGAACATATCAATATTAACAACACCAAATAAGTTAAATAATATCTAATAATGTAGATCTCAAGTTGTATTACCTCTATAACTTTCCCAGAGTGCAGCTGTACTTGCAGTAAACTGGCCACTCCACGTTTTATGTTCTTGATAATATCATGTTCGGCCCAGTATGAATAAAACGCCTTTGCCTACAAACCATAAACATAAAAAAATATCTGAAACATTTTAAAAATAAGTGACTTGCACAGCCCTGGATAAGAAGAAGAAAATGGATGAATGGATGGATGAATTTTAATAATAATTACTTTTCATTACTGTGTTAAGGTGGACATTTGTTTTAAAAGTACATTATGTAACTTTTCTGGTGTAGGGTCTGCCACCTACTTGTCTCTATGGAGATCTTGCCTGGAATATCCCACAGTATGATATTAAACATTTATATCTTGCATTTATTCAATTACAGGTGTTTTATTGTTGAAAAATACCCTGAAAAACATGCATTCTTACTGTGAGCAGGCTTGCCCCTGCACAGATCTGACCTGTAACGTGAATAGCGCTTTCCCCTGCTTATCTCCAGAATATACAGAATGTACAATACGTTTAATGCCATACTGTGAAGCATTTTACGAACAGCAATACTATCTACAGAGACAAACGCATGTAGTACAACTTTAACCAGAAAAGTTACACAATTCCCCTTTAACTCAAACTGTAGATTTAACTGTTATTATATTATCTTAATTATTATTGTGTGATATATTATCGCAGGTGTTTACATCATTCTACAACTTCTCTTCAACACTATGTGATTTATTTGCAGCAGCCAACCACAATATCAAGCAGGGCCACCAGAAATAGACTGTGCAGTGCCACTTTGTGTATTTTCCTGCCTCAGCTGTCAGCATTATAAATAAATGAACAACGCCAGGGAGGTATATTATTTCACACATACTTTTAGTCAGTAGCTGCAACATCCCGGAATGATTATACAAATTTGATTTATTATGAACATATACTATTCATAGTTTGGAGTGGCATCGTGCTGGGGGTGTGCTACATGTTTAGGAGTTGCCATGGTGACGCAATGCACACATTAGCAAATACTGACAAAAAAGTTTTACGGTGGTCTGAAAACTCAAGAAAAAACACAACAACAACAAAAATTTACAAAACAAATTTTAGCTAGCTCGTATCTGTAATTTTATGTGTGAGTAGGGTGACCAGATTTCCAAAATAAAAAACTGTGACATTCCTAGTTTGTGGTGGTTGGTAATAATAAAATTGTGAAAATGTTTGTAATTAAGGAAAATTGTTCTGCACTTGACACTAGTGAGTCAGTATAGTCACATTTTCTTTGTGTTTTGGTCATTTTTAAGCAGTTTTTTTCCCCTGTATTTTACCTAAACAAATGACAATGTATGCCTTTCTTTACTGTTGGCAGGTGTTAGATTGGTTAAAAATAGAGACAACTGAGACATTTTTTGTATAATACTAGGATGAATCACTGGTTTTGGATAAATCTACTTGGACACAGGGCTCAAAACTGGGACTGTCCCAATAAATACGGTAAATACGGATGTCTGGTCACCCTGAGTGTGAGAGACTTAACAGCGCAAATCAGCTCACCTGCTGTAGTTCCATCTAAACCAGTTATTTATGGTCAGATTGTAAAAATAAAACACAGATTAAAGTCCAATAAAACCTCAGAATCTACAGTTAGCATTGCACTGTCATGTTGGTGACATCAGATGATTCAAAGTTTCTATAAAATATGTTCAAATTAGTTTTGGTTATTAAAAAACAGCAGTCCCAGGATCTAACTTCAAAACAGACATTCCCTTACTGACCTGCTAACCCCAATGACCTTTGACCTTTAACCTTTTATACTTTCCCTTGCCAACATCATCACAACAAAACACGATAAAAACTACTACTGCAATGAGTCATGTGGCTGTAATTGCACAAAACTGTTTTATCAATGGCACTTTAAATGGTTAAAGGTCCTATACTAAAATTGACTCTTGTGAACTGTAAATCATGTTATAATATTCTTACCTCATCAAAAACAGACCTGGAGTTGTGTTTGCTTCATTCACACATGTTTGAGTAATCCTTTATTATTAATCTGCCTACATCTCCAAAGCTCAAAATGCTCTGTTCCACCTTGTGATGTCAAGTTCACATCTACCTTTTGTTCAGTATGGATTAGAGACTTCAGGGTTCAAATTAGCCAAATGATTCTAGTGAAAGTGTATAAAGTTTAAAAACACAGTGGAGCACCTGTATTACCACATGACATCACAAGGTGGAACACTTTTTTTCTGTTTTAGAGAAGAACTCTCTGCCTAAATATACAGGGTTTGTGTGTGTGACATGTGTGAATGAAACAAAACACAACTCTAGGTGTGTTGTGATGAGAAAACAACATTATATAACATAGATCAGAAAACAGTGTAATATGGGCTCCTTAATCACTCAAAATAACAGAAAAATGTTAAAAAATTGTCTTACCTTTCCATTTTTCAGATGCACCATAAAGGGTTTGGTCAAAGCTGCCAGTTTGCTCTTCCCTAGGAGACTTTCAGCTGTGGATCCTTCAATGATGCTTTTCTCTTTAGAATTCTGGGACACATGCTCCACTCTGACGTTTGAGATCTGCTCAAGAGAAAGTTTATTTTCAAGTCAAACATGAAAAAAATAGTAAACAGCTAATAAGAGAGAAAACAGATTTATCATTTATAAATGAAACAACATACGGCTAACTGTATGAGCTGGTCATCTTTGCTGCTTGGGTCTCTCCACACCAGATGGATGTCCACGTCTGAGGAGAGTCTGTAGCCCCCACTGCCCCATGACCCCCGGGGCCTGTCCACCAGCACCTCTGTGGTGTAGCTGAATTTGTACAGCTGGTTATTATTGAGCTGAGGTCCAACGCCTGCACCTGAAGAAACACAATGTCTTTTGTGACACTAGAACAAATATTGTATCTTCTTTCTTTTTAGAAACAGAACAGATTAAATACAATTTAACTTTGCTCATAGGCCCATATGTGTGTAAAATATTGCAAATACTGTTACTATAGTGACACATATGACCTTATTCACTCATCAGCCTGACTGGGTGTGTCTAAGATAAAGAGACTAATGACTGCTGTTTGAAATAGTGAAGATAGACTGACGTGTCACTACGGTTGTGATTTCATCACAGTGAAGAGAGAAACATGATCCATTCATTTTTCCTATACAACAAATGAATTATTATTTTTGGTCTATGTATTTTCAAATTTCAATATATGTTTCAAATGTCAATCACACACAAGTTACACTATTGGAAATTGCACATTGATGTATTCTTTAATAGAAAAAATATCCCTTTGATTTTTAATGCAAAACATAACCAATAATAACACGTTACTGATACGTTACTTCATATAATTAATGAAAACCACTATATGAATAAAGAGTTTCTTGGAGTCTCATTCAGAAGCGTCTGTGAAAGGTCACAGCGCCCCCTGAACTCACCTTTAGCCGCTGCAGAGAGGAACGAGGCTGCGCAGAGCAGAACAACAAACCGAGCCAACATCGTGCGTCCCCGCGGTGTGGCCCGTGAAAGCCCGGTAAAAGGAGCTATGGCTCAAGTGGCTCTTGGGGCCAAAGACAGGCGAAGCAGCAGCCGTGTTCTCTGTGAGGTTTTGTCGGAGAGGAGGGCAGACTCCAAACTCCACGCTCAAGTACTAAGTACGAGATAATGGCAAATGATTAACCCGAGCAGCACAGATTTGTCAGGATCTCAGATGGGCTCCGGGAATCAGGAGTCCCTTTAATACAGGGCCACACCACGTGACTGTCTCTCATCAATGAAACGGGATTATCACTTTTGATTGAATTAATCAGGAGAGGAATGGCACCTCGGTTCCCCAGCACATGTTGGGAGTTTGTTCAACATGTGCACGCGCCCACGGTTGTTAAAAATAGAAGGCAATTAAGAAAAACTTAACTGGACGGTACAAAGTTACCGTGCAGCGGAGAGACGTCCGCATCCCGAACATCTGTCACCCCATTCCTGCGGCAACAGCCGCTCGTTTTTTGGCGCTGACCCGGAGGCAGTCCTGAACCTGCGCACAGAGCGCACACGCAGCATCCAGGCGCAGAACTCGAGTTTAGTCTAGAAAGGCTAGTCTCTTTTTAAATCATGAGAAACTCCATGATCTTTGTTGCTCATCAGTGCTTTATGTGTCTGTGAAAGTAAAAGTGAGCAAACACAAACTGTCCTGTCTTATTTAGTTATTAGAAAGATTAAAGGTCACGTCCCTTGGGTGTAATCAATGGTTGATAACAGCAGGTAGCCAAGCCTGTCTAAATTGTAATTGTTACTAAATGACTACTAAATCCTTTTGTCTGCTCATGAAAACTGAACTCCCGACAATAAAACTAAATATATTGATGTTAACAAAGATGCACATTTATTGAGTTACATATTTACAACTGGTCACAATCCAAATATTTACACATTTGCAACAAAATAAAGTGGAAACAATCACAACCTTGAACACTGTATGGCACAGAGTGGTCATAGATGTTACAATGCAAGCAGTCATCTTCACTTCAGAGCCTCTGGATTACTTATTCTTATGCAAACTCTTAAAAGGAACTTAATGCAAGATTTTTATTTTACATTTCATAAACGTGACCTGCTTGTGTACTCAGCAGCAAGGTATATGTTCTCAAATATAGCTTTTACTGATAACAATTGTAATACAGTTTTTTTTTTTTTTTTATTAATTATAAAGCATTGCACATGCCTCATATATTGTTGTTATAATTTAACATTTTGGTTCTCATGATGATTATCGAATAAGTAAACAGAATGAATTTCACATGAGTCTCATTTGGGTTGCCAGTTTCAATGCTAAAATCCAGTAGGTCTAAACCTAAAAAAGCACTTTCACTGATCTGAATCTTCACTATTTAACCCCTACACCTGCAGCCATCATGAATGAGTGCTAGTGCAGCCTCTGCAGCTCAGTGAGTGAATGCTGGAGGTTTTGAGCTTTCATGTGAGACATGGCCTGTCCATATGATGAAAATGAGAAAAACTTGCATGTCTCCTCTATCTGCAGGTTAAGGCTCTGGCAGCCCAGGTTCATTTGTGATTGTAGTAGGCTACGTAAGGGTTCCTTTCTATTCCTTTGTGTTTGGTGATTCAGAGAAAACTGGTGAAATGCTGTGGACTGTAGCCAGTGGCCATTTAGCAAAGCTTCATTGTCAAGATGCTCATTTAATCTGGTCAAAGCATAAATCAAATCATAAAATTTGCAAACATAAAAAAAGTAATACCATTTCATGAGGAACATACCCTTTTTGGTAGCGTAGCCTTGTGAAGCACACCTAATATGATTAATAAGGTGGGCGCACTCTTAAGTACTGAAATCATCTTCACTGTTTGCCCACATGAAAATATATAAAGGAGCTATAACATATACTGACAATGAACAATAGTGAACAGTGTGCAAATATAAATGCAGATACTGAAACCCTTTTTGAAGGAGACCATGGGGCAATACAGAACAGTAGCTCAAGGCTACTTTGAAAATTTTGAAACTCCTCCCCCCAGTGGCTATCTGTAAAACTGTCAGTGACTAGAACAATTTTGTTGTCTTCTACATGAAAATAAAGTGCATTTAATCCTTAGTTAAGTTGTTTATAATATTTTGATAAATTATTTTACACAATTTGTAAATAGGCTCTCCCACAGATTGCAGACAAGCCCATTCATCCTACTTAAAGAAGAAAAATACAGTAAAGCCAAAGTCCTCGCTAAGACCACAGGCATGCAGTGCACTGTCAGAACCACTATTTCTCCCTACACAACCCCTACATGCAGTACTCAAAACTGCTGTTGTGTATCAACAATAAAGCATAAAAACATTACAATTCAATACATTTTATAAAGTATAATTCCTTCATCATGGCAAAGAGTCTGAGTTGGCTTAAAGGTGCACTGTGTAACTTTTCTGGTGGGAGGTCCATCAAATGCTTTTCACCATGGAGATGTTATTGCATTGTCTGAAATGTTTCACAGTATGGCATTAATCCATTCTATCTTCATGGAAACCAAACTACACCATGTTACAGGTCAGATCTGCGGAGAGGCAACCCCACTCACAGTCAGAATTCCAGTTTTTCTAGGTATTTTTGAGCAGTAAAACCACCTGTAAATTAATGCATATAAAGTTACAGCTGTGTACAGCTGGCAGAGCAATGACATCTCCATTGAAACAACCCTCAACCAAAAAGTTACATAGTGCACCTTTAACTTCAATTGCCAAATCTGATTTATGTGTGGCGATATGGCACAATAAGATCACAATTTGATTCATGTACACTAATGACTTTTACCTATGGCCTTATTAGCACCTAAAGCTATCTACGTCTTCTTTACACTTCACTGTGACTTTGGAGGTCCACATACTCCTCACTCAAGACATGTTGGAGGCTCACCACTTGTTTGAGCAAAAAAAAATCGCTCTCTCCAGGTTTTGCTCTAATACTGATATATTGTCCACCCCGTTTCTTCATGTTAAACTCCTCATTGTTGTGTACCTGTAAACAATTCTGTTTTTGGACGCATTCAATCACTTGAGTCCCTTTCTTGCTGGAATCCAAAGTGAAGTGTCCTGTTCAGATGAAACCACATTTTAAAATACCAAATGCAAAATAAACCTGTGTGATTTACTGATATGATTGTGTACCGTATGCATTCTTCATGCCTCTGGAAATCCACTGCAGCTTCAGGTAAACAAACTAAAAACACACATTTAATTGTAAAACAGATTTGTAATTTTACATTTTTTAGATTTCTGGATGAACCAAATGTTCAACTTACCAACTTTCCCGGACAGCTTCAATGTCACTGACAAGGTTTTGCGCTAAACAGATCCCAAATATCTGCAACCACAAAGAAAAAGTTGCAAGGTAAGTTTGTTGCCACTAGGGGGCAAAAGAATAATTCATGGATTATTAAAACATATGTTAATTGGGGTTTAGGGTTTTTAAATTCCTTCATTTGACCATAAACAAGATTAATGTACATATTTCTTTATTTTATAGTTTAGTTGGAGTTACTTTGATAGACTAAACCCAATGCTTGCATTATGTTAATTAGGTCTACTGACCTGCAATAATGCTATTCCAATAAAGATCCCTGCCACCACGGTCAAGTTGTCCTGAAGCCACTTCTCAAACTGAGGCACACAGCCTTTGATATAGATGAAGGTCCTCTGCTCAGCATCCTGTTCACACATTCACAAAGAGATTATTAGGAGTGAAGAATAACAAACAAAATTGTTAAAAAAATATTAAATAATGTTAAGAAACGCTATCATTATAATTAAGGTCTTTCAATATTTTGTTGATGAAAATGAGCCCTTTCATAGTAAAGCTTTCTCCCCCTCGTCTCATAGTCTTGTGTGTGTTTCACTGAAGCTGCTTCATGTAAAGTAAAGAAAACAAACATAAGTCTTTCCTTATATTCTGCATCTGAGGAGCAGAGCCCTAAAGGCGGGGGAGGGGTCTCATGGCCCTTACATTGCTACAGCATGAGTAATACCACAGAGTCCTGATGGGGAGCCAGCAGCTGGAGTCACACACTGGGGTGTTCACAAACTGAAGACCTACAGAGTACTGTGACCAGGGCGGGGTACAGAGTGACCTCACAGCATAATGCACCGAAACAAAGCAATGTTGTCGCCTCAGACATACAGTAAAGTGTGAAAGAGCAAACTCACAGTTTTGGCTCGAATATCATATCCACACTGTGTGTTGATGACATCTTCCTGTAGAGAAACAAACCCAGGTCATTAAAACATGCATCTCCCTGGAGAATGCTCCCCAAAGTATGGTTTTAACTTTCTATGTCTATGGTTAGGGTACAATGAAGGTGAAAAATGTGGGTGACGTGCAACCTCCAGAAAGTTACACTGTGTTACTTTAACCTGAATGTGCAGTTTTAGTTCCTTCAATATTTATTTCATAAATTATTTGAACTTTCACACTGGAAAAAAGCTACAACTTCTTATATTATAGCACTGACAAAAGATGACCTCACTCGATCAGTATGTTCGTGGGTCAGCCACTAAAAAGTGCACGTTTCAATAAAGCAGCTGTTTTTGCTAAATCACTCCCCTGTCATTGCTCTAAAAAACTGTACGTCAGGCTTTTTTGCCTTTCTCTTTCTCACACTGGGCTGAGCAGGGTTTTTTTTATGTCCTGTCGACAGTAGCACTAAACTTTCTGGAGGATACAGATAACAAACCTGTCAAAAAACTTCCCCTAAGTATGGACAGTGTAAAAGTTTGAGTGAAAAACAAATGACATAAAACATGGAAATTGCGTCACAGGCGACCAATATAAGAAAAAGTGAAAGTGTCATACCGCTGGGTCTTTGGTGCAACAGGAAAAGGGCACTCCGCACTTCTCTCGACTCGGGTTAGAATCCGTGCAATTGAAATAAATGTTTAAATTCCAGTCATCAGCCCCAAACGCTCCACAACACTCCCACTACAAGATCAAAGATCAAATACACAAGATCTTAATAATAATTTTTTTTATTTTAGATATCCCAATTGAATAGTTCTTGTACTGCATATTTATCAGGTTTTTGTATGTGATATTTCAAGTTTTATACAGGGTTGGGACAGGCCAGGGCCAGACATCTTTGGTTGGACGAGCCATGGGGGTACAAAATTCTTCAGCTGGAGTGCACATTTAACACTTAACTTAAGAGTATTTTATGGATGTAATATCCACCCTACAATGTTTGCTGTGCTGTTTTAAACAAGTTTAAATGTAGTTAGCCCCTGTAGTGATTTACAAACCGTAATGTGGAGCAATGAAGGGGGGGGCGCACTGGCCATTCT